CTCACTCGATCTGTTTGATCTGTTCGTTCGTTCGCTCATGTATAATGATCACTCTTCTACAACGTCTTATTTCCCGTACCACTGTTTATTTACAAATAATATAGGCAAACAACAAATTTAATTTACAAAAAAAAAAAAAATAGTAGATCAAAACCAAAATCATACAATCTATCCCAAGTAAGGAAAAAAGCAGTGTTACGGGTTTTGAGCAATCTTTTATAAGTGTTAACTAGTGTGATAATGATGTATTATAACGAATGAAAAAACACATGGAGATATCAAAACCTCGTAAGGTTTGATCCAGGGTTATAGGGGTATGACTCCATGATATCAGAAGTAATTAATATAACCATTTTGTTGAAAAATCATGCGTCCATAAAATAGAATTTTGACTTTACGTCAAGAAATTACCAACAATTAAGAAGTTCTAACCGTATTTTTATTGTTATATTGCAAATATCTGGTGATGATTATGATTTTTCATACAACATACAGGACCTTTTATTATCAGATACTTAATAAAATCAAACAACTATATGAACTTTTATTATCGGATAATTAACAAAAGCAAGTAACTTGTGTAATCTATATCCCTTTTTATGTTTTGCCCAGAGAATTTTTATATGTCAAAAATACATTAACCTCTTTTATCATTCGAATAATAAAATAATCAGTTGTAGGGCAAATTTTCCTATGGAATATCACAATAATTGACATACGTCAATTTAGGTGTTTTTCAATGGGCGATTGATGATGATATTTCATGATATTTAATCAAGGTAAGATATAGAAGTTACATCCCTTTTTATTTGGATGAATCCATTTCGGTCCTGTTTTACAATACCATCACATGTCAAAAATACATTAGTCTTTTTTATTCTTGGCATCTTATAATTCGGAACCCACATGATCTGGACAATAGGTGTATATTAATGCAATGATTTACTGCGAGGCTTACTTTTGCGATGTTTTCGAATATGATGGGATACTTTTTTTTCTTCATAGCTATACCGGGCTTATATGAGAGACTTTACTGCATTGTTTATTTTTGGAACTTTGTCCCAGTCCTTTGGGGCTGGAATCAGATAATTGGGCTCAGGCTGGATAATTCAGAATTGGATGAATCAGATTCACTTGATGGGCCTATTGACAAATAGGACAGGACAGAGTACCTTACCATTTGCTAGATAATATAGAATCAGTTCTAACAACTCTACTAGATTGAATATAAATAAGTTAGATTGCATCGTTAGTTAATATCTAATCAAATCGAAGAAATAATTGCATGTTGGCTCCATAATTACAGAGCGTCATAATCCCTGGTGAGAGGGCAGGAGAATCCAAGGCATGTCTATTTCATAGATTATTTTTTATTCGTATAATTTCGACGACGGGCTAGCTTCCCAAGTTCTTGCTAGACTATTTCTTGAAGTGTTTGGAATGATCGGCGTTCCAAATCCAAATCCAATTAAAGTCATTGGAACGTTACGATGCACTTTAATACATTTAATATAAAAAAATGGAAGTCAATAATAATAATGATAACACTAACAGTAATGATAATAAAATAAATTTAATAGAGATTTATTTGCTAAATTTATTTATATTGATTATTATTTATTCATAATAAAAATTTTTATTTTGATTTGATCATTAGCTTTCATATCTTCTTGTGGATAATCAAAGATATGATAAGGTAAATGTCTGGATACTGCATCCTGATATGAACAAAAATGTGTTCTGTAATCAGGTTGAAAAACAGATATTTGATTAAAAAATCTTTTTCCCTTAATTTTTTTCTTGGACTCGTACTTCCTGATAATTGTGCAGGATCCAATTTTTTACCACTTCCAAGTTTTCCGAATTATTAAAGTAAAATCGCACGGCCATATAACCATCTCATTCCCACCAACCGAACAAGTTTAAAGTATTAAACCATTCTAATATGTCTTCATTTTTCAAACTTCGAATGAGGTTGCCATCAGTAATTTCAAGGACTTGGTTCTTCTCACTGGGGTCAGGTCCTAATCCATATGAGAAGGATCGATAACAATTATCCAGAGGACAAAAAATTGTATTTGATTTAAGGCTAATAGAGGCACCTATAGAAGACAGGATATTTCAAATAATGCAATTTAAAAATTCACATGACTTCGAACATAACATTTGCATACCTAAATTCCAAAACCATGTCTCCACAGTCCAATTGAGTTCCAGTGCCCGTTTTACTACAGGTTTATAGTCTCTATCGCCAGCAATAATAATTAAAATACCAGGATCATTTAATGTGATCGTTTCTGCTACTGATAACGCAAGTTCTATATCAGCCTCCTTCTCACGATGGCTTGTGATGTCCCAATCAAACACATTCACCTCAAACCCTTGATCCTTAATGTATGACCACAATGAGTCATTAGGCGGTGGTCGAGAACCGATCAAGAATGGTGCACCACCTAATTTACGTCCGCACTGAACTGTGGTGAGAAGCTTACCATAGTCAATCTTGAGCTGTCTAAAATAATAGAATCTCTGTCAAAATCATAGGTACCTAACTGCTCAAGGCTGCCAACAGTATACTTTCCCTCAATCCAGATGTTTGAGTTATCAACAAATATGTGTCAAGATTAGTAGATGGCTTATCTATTAAAGATGTTCTTGAAATTTCCTTAATTAACTGTGCTATTCTTTTAGCTGGACCAAGAGATAATCCAATATAACAGAGATCTTCTTCTTTCAAAAGAAGAAAGTCTAATTCATTTAATTCATCACTTAATTTATGGATCATTTCTGCTCCCCTATCTTCATTTTCTTCCTTTTCTAATTCTTCCAAGTCCTTTTTTAGTTTGTTTAATGATTCATAAAATAAATCAAAATAATTTTTTTGTGCACATTTTTTACAATCAATACAATCTTCTATTATTTTTAATGTGTCAAGTAATTTGTTTGAATTAATTGATGTGATTGATTCATTTAATTTGGTGAGCAATTCACATAATGGGTCAAATATATTCTCCTTTTGACACCCATCACATAATCTTAATCTATTTATTTCAACATCTAATTTATTTGATTCATTGCCTAATTTATGGATTATTTCTGCTTTCCTATCTTTGTTTTCTTTCTTTCTTAATTCTTCTGAAATCTTTTTTAGTTCATTTAATGATTCATAAAATAAATAATAATAATTATATCTTTGTGCACAACTGGTACAATCTTCTACTATTTTTAATGTGTCAAGTAATTTGTTTGAAATAATTGATTCATTTGATTCATTTAGTTTGGTGAGTAATTCATATAATGGATTTAATATATTCTTCTTTTGACAACTATCACATAATACTATATTTATTTCAACATCTAATTCATTTAATTCATCATTTAATTGATGAATTATTTCTGCTTTCCTATCCTCATTTTCTTCTTTGTCTAATTCTTCTGAAATCTTTTTTAGTTTGTTTAATGATTCATAAAATAAATAATAATAATTATATCTTTGTGCACAACTGGTACAATCTTTTATTATTTTTAATGTGTCAAGTAATTTGTTTGAAATAATTGATTCATTTGATTCATTTAGTTTGGTGAGTAATTCATATTACAGAGCCGAGAAAGGAGATTTTCAATTAGTAGGAGGGCCTTTGAGAGGTTGGTCAGAGAAATTGGAGAGGAGGCCAGGCTAGGGTTGTCGTTTGTGAGGGTATATTTTTTTTTTCTTTAACTAAATGATTGAAAATTTCTCATACTGGTAAAATATTAATAATCATTTTAATATTTAAAACAGACAGCAGAAAGGGGGGTGATGGGGCTGTTTAGGGATGCGTATGTATGAAAACCGATAATTTAAAATATATTTGTGACGTTTTCATTAACTGTTGTTTTTCTTTTGATCAATTTATTGTTACTTTAGTGGTAGGTGTGCAGCACATGCGGGGAGGAGTTTGGTGAGGCCGGAAGATGTTAGATTTGCGGCCGAGTTTAAAGAAACTGAGAGAATAGAAACATTAACCGATTATTAAAATTTTTTATAAAACCATCCCTTATACTGTTTAGCAATTGTGAAGTGAAATGAAATACCCAGAAAATTTAGAAAATTTGCACAAACATAATGGGATATTTGATATTGGTTGTTTGACAAATCTTTTTTTTTTTTTTTTGCGAATTGTTAGTTTTATTTATTTAGAATTTATTTTATACATATTTTAAAATACATAGACAAATAATTTCTTATGAAAACTTTTCCCACATGCATAGACATCGTGACCAATCTTTTCCCCGCCTTTTAATTTTAATTTCATTATTAATAAATAAATTGCACATATGTGCTTATTAGTAGGTGGGCAACTACTTTAACTTGTGTTTGACAAATCTAATACTAATTAATATAAATCTATATGTGTGGATTTTGTCATGGCTGACCCCGTTTTTCCTGTATGATAAAAAATTGTGAAAAAAAAATTATTTTTAGCGCGTTGAATTTAAAACTATTATTTCTCCTGCAAAATTCATTTGTTTGCAAAAAAATTAAATTGTTTCAATTGAAAACTATAATGTGGTGTAGTGGTGATACAGAGAGAATGTTAATTTTCTGTTTTTTTTTGAAAGTTGTATGTAATAGAACAAAAAGTATTGCAATAAAGGAAATTTTCGAATGAATACTTTATAATATTGAACTTTTTAAAATGTAAATAACTCTCTGGATTTTTAAAATATTATCTATTTACTATCTTTACGCACACATTTAACGCCTCTATTATTGAAAATGGGGGAGAAACAACAATTTGAAAACTTCAAATTCGGGAAAACTTTAAACTGTTATTTCTCCTGCAAAATTCATCTGTTTGCAAAAAAATTAAAACTGTTTCTATTGAAAGCTATATGTAAATATGTTAATTTTCTACAATATATTGATAAAATACTGGTTTCTGGATATATTAATAATACAATTCGCGTGTGGGACCTTGAGAAAGGTGTATATACTTGTATGTTCTTGGGTCATGCAGATGCTGTCGGGTGTCTTTTTGACTATCCAACCACAAAATGTTAATTCTAGTTCAAATTTGATCATTACTGGTTCAAAAGACTTTACAATAAAAGTTTGGCGATTACCAAATCTTGAGGTTGACCCATCATACATACCTTCATCGCAATCAGAATTTGATAATAATATTCGTACCCTTTATCCCTACAATCATTCCGTTCATGCTTTAGCTGGTGTAGGAAATATATTCATTAGTAAATGGCAGCCACGATCATACTGTAAGAGTATAAAATGTTATTACTAATAGTAATATTCGGTTTCTAAGAGGTCATGCAAGAAAAGCTTATTCATTTGCGTTGGATGTCAACCATAAAAGGTGTATGAGTGGAAACAGTGACGGAACAGTTAAAATCTGGAGCATAGAAAATGGTACAAACTTGTGAACGTTAGAAAATATGTTATTATTATTTTCTTTGTATTCAACATAATTGTCAAAATATTTTAATATGATTTAAGGCTGCTTTATCTTTCTCATAATTATCTTGTTTCTACAGTAGTTACCCCTGCTTCTCACTATAGTCTTCGTGTATGGAACCCTGATAATGGAACATGAAAACACGTAATAACCACACATACAATAAAATGTTTTCAACATGATAAAGATAAATAATAGTAGGTTCAAATGTAAGGTTATGCATGTGGAATGCAAAAACTGGACAACATATACGTGATTCGTTAGTGGATTTGACTAATATATTGTGAATTGGGTTCTATTAGATACATTAATTAAATATATATTTATCAAGCGAGTAAAGTTTAAATGAAAGGTTTGCGTTGCAGCTGTAAAACGAAATAGTTTGATATATTTGATTATGGTGCCTTTGAAATACAAGAAGATAAGTAATGGTGATTGGGTGTGCAAAAAGGTTAATTTGTTGTTGTGATAATTTAATTCATAAGAATTCAATAATAAGACAATAATATATGTAAATGTATTGCGAGATTGTAATCTCACGTGTTGTCTGATAATTTATAGTTTAAATTGTTTTTATCTTTATGCTTACTCCCAGTAAGATTTTGTTTTTATTGCTCACACTTTTCGCGAGACTTCCAACGTTGTTGGTTATGGAATTGCTAATGATTAAAGTTGACCAACTGTTTAATCACGTCTTAATCGAATAGATGTTTGTTTATTTAATGATTATGCTTCTTCAGCATGAACTTTATATGAAATTATTTAATCCAGAAAAGGTTGTTTTATGTAAAGATGTAAATATTGAATAATAATATAATGTTAATTATTAAATCTAATTGCAAGAATTCTGAGAATTCTCTTGACGAATGTTTGTATATAAATATTTGGGTTCCATTTTTCGTAGGTTCATGGCTTCCGCGTTGAATTGGGTTCTGTTGATAATAACTGGGTAAAGTGTAATAATGAGTATTAATATTGAATTTTGCACATATACTCTTTCATATATTGTAAGTCTAGCTAGATCAGAAAAGATCAAAAATTCCATCGACATTTTATTAGTAAACTTTTTGGTGTGAAGATGGAAGGAAAACAAAGCAATTTTAGGTTGAAATTTTCAACAGTTATGAAAACACTACCTTTTGAAATAGAACAATAATAACAGCAATAATAAATCCATGGATTTTACATTGATCCCAATATGGAAACATTTAGTCAAACAATATAAATTTAATGTTACACGAAAAATAGATGACGAAAATTTTTTTTTGATTTTCAATTCCAAAAAATGACCGACTACACTACTTTCATTGATCCTCTTGATCTTATTTTACAAGACTTTTCTACAGACCAAGGTATCAAAATATAAAAATATTTATTATTTAAAGTAGTCTAGTAGTTAGTTACTAAATAAATTTTTTTATAGTTGATGACAATAATAAAACTGTAATACAACAAGCTCATACAACAACAACAACAACAACAACAACAACAACAACAACAACAACAACATCATCATCATCATCATCATCATCATCATCATCAAATAGCACCAATAATAAGAAGCAATGCCAACTGTGCAAGCTCGAAAACTGGAAATATAAATGTCCAAAATGTGAAATGAAAACTTGTTCATTGGGATGTGTTAAAGAGCATAAAGTAAAGTTTGGATGTGATGGTGTTCGTAAAAAGACTATTTACATTGATATAGAAAAATATGGATATAAAGATTTAATGAGTGGTAAGTTGAAAGAAAAATATCACCGATAGTGATTATTGATAAATATGATTTATAAATATGATTTATAAATTTTATAGATTATGTGTTTCTTGAAGATATTTCGCGGAATATTGATACAGCTCGTCGTCTTAGACTTGATAAAAATACCAAGAAGTAATATAAATATAATTTTGAGAAAACTTTATTTATTTGTATGAATGAGCAGACTTGCATTATTATTTCCTTTTCGCACGGTCTTATTATTTAGATGATGTAACTTATTTATATAAACCTAAGAATACAAGAAAGAAATAAATGTCAAATAACAATCTCAATTACATATTAAAAAGTAAGTCTGTGATTGGGATGAATGTTTGCAACTGCTCAAGGGAAATAGTAGAATTTAGAGCTATTGGAAAAATTTTTGAATAACAGAAAAAATGGGTTATAGTGTTGGTATTGGAACAAAGGATACTAGTGATGAAGAATTTGAAAAAGGCTGATCCTATATTAATAAAAGGTTCTTGAAATAGAATAATAATAACAGATAGAATACATGGAAAAATCGGTCCTGGTCCCAGTCCTGACCAATAAAGATCAAAAATGTTTATCATATGAGTAGCAAATAATTTTTTTAGCAAATTTTTTTATACTAAATAATAAAATCTTTACCAAAAAAAAATATTAAAAATCAAACATCAATTTTATTTTCTAGGATACCATTTTCTATCCAACTTTTTAGAGTATAGCTTTCACTGTTTCAGGATTTAGCCTGTTTCTTGTTCTAGTAATGGTATTTCCTGCTACTGAAAATGTCTGTTCACATGGAACACTTTGGCCTGGTTGTAAGTCGCATATTAATCAATTTATTAATGTTTTATCTCGCTTATTTTGTTCCAAGTCAGTATGGAGATTAATTCTTGCAATGTTGTTTGGTATGTAGAATGTTTTTAGATGAATTTACGTTGATTCTTAAGTGTCTTAAAATAGTAGAAATTCCAGTTTTAATTGAAAATGAAATTCTACATTTACTACATATATTGGATTTTGTTTATGATGAATAATTCCAAATTTCAGATGTTTTTTGAACAAGTTGAAAATTCTTAATATTAAACATTATTTAAATCATAATTAATCCACCATCATCGATTAATCAATCCTTCATTATCCATCTACCAAAACTCACGAGTTGGAAAATTTTCTTCTGAAAAATCATTATTAAGATCTTCAGACAATGACTTTTTTTTTAATAATAATAAATATATTTTTTTTATTGGACTTGTCCTAAATTTTGTCCTATTCGCAGATCTAATCGAGGAGATCTAGATCAGCTACGATATTGATATATTTATATAAGCGTGTTGAACTATATGGGTGAATGGACTGGATCTCGAACAAAAAATTCAATTCTTTAACAAAAATGGTAAAATCAAACTTCTCCCAAGTTTCATTTGTTTTTTCTTTTACATTAGAATACCCGGCTTTGGAATAGCTACGTAACTTTAATGATTTAAATAAAACGATTATATTACATTCTGCAATAAAGTTTCAATAAGATATTAAAATTTTAATTAATTGAATTGGTTCCAGCAAACAAAAAAGGAGCAACGTTTAAAGTCAAAAACTATTATATTCAATTTAGAAGCAATTCAATTTAAGTGCAAAAGTTTTAGATTTACGTACATTAGCAAAGAAATGATTCTGTGATTAATTCGATAACTTGAAATATTTGTAGCTTACAAATAAATGACAAATGATTTTATAATTATATTTGAACATTAAATAAAAAAAAAGAATTGGGCGAATTTATTCAAAAGAATTTATTATGATGAGTTGATTTAATAAAAAATATAAATCGATTTATTTTGTTTGAAAGCAGAGTTAATTGCATTATGGAGACTCTTCATCAAAGTGCAAGTTTAGATTGTGGAATAGTAATTTTGTTAAATAAATTTATTCTTTTTGGTTTTCATGCTCTATATTATTAAAATTTTTTTCCAAAGTTTAACTCTAAATTATAATTTATTACAATGATAAGATACCCGATAAACAACTTAATTTACTATTACGGCATGGATAACCACTTTTAGTAATTCTTCCTTTGGCTCTACCCAAACACTTTCACGTAGAGGAACATTAACGGGATGATTTCTGGTTTTCTATTATTTATAAAGATCCTGTAAACAAAATCAATTTAAATTAGAAACAATAATATAAACACTTTTACACTAAAATTTGGTGTATAAACTTATATGTAATTGCTTTTGGCGTGTAATTAATTGGTAGAGAGATTTGACAACATTGGATTATCACTAATGCTAATAATTTGTAACGAGAGCGCTCGATTTATTAACATCCATCTTTTCTGGTTTTCAGCATTAATCATGCTTATCACAGTTTCTTTATAATAATAATAATTAAAAAAGTATCGATACAAACCATTGGATATTTTTTTAATTTAGATGATTTTTTTTTCAAGAAGATATTTTAATAATTTATATTATAAAAAACTCGCTTTTTTAAAAACACATTGCACAACTAAAGATAGTAATAGGAACTGCAATTAGCTGCAATTCAATTTTCATATATCACAATCAGTGTTGTGACCCGAAGCAGAAACCAGTTTAGGTTAGTAGTTTATGCTTAGATTTTTTTAGTTTTGGTTTTAGGTTTAGTTTTCTGCTTAGTGTAAGTTCATTTTCCGAAACGTTTCGGGCAATTAATTGAGGAGCCATCTTTATGCACAACTATGTAATGTTATAAGCAATACCTCTTACAGTGTAGCAAATACATTTTCTTACGGGGTTGGTTTGTGATGATAGGAGAGTTTGGAACCCACTGTAGCCATAATCATCATTATCTAAGCTCATAAAAGCTTTGGGGCAAGTATTACCTCCCATGCGGTCATTCTGATTTAAAATTTCATATAATAATGATAACAATAATATTTAATTATTTATAAAACAAAGATATACAAATTAAAAAAAACCAAATTTCAAGGACCAAGGTCCATAATTATTAGTGTTGATACTATTGTTATAATTATTAATATTAATATTAATATTATTACTATTAATATTATTGATTGTATAGTGATGATGATGATGAAAATTCATCTGCTGCTGTCGCTGCTGGATTTGTTGTCTCCATCGTTACCGACGCCTATTGGCTGAATTGGCAGCAACAGAGGCACCAGGTTTATTTTTATTGTTGTTATTAGTGTTTTTTTATCCATTTTATTTGAAGAAAATTAAAATTTTAGAGAACATCGCGTCAATCACATAATTATATATAGGAACTCTTGGGTTTGTTTCTCAACAATGCCAACGTTCTGCAGAGTATAATTACGTTAATTTTTATGTTATTTTCATATAACTACTATTATGCAAAGCCTTTTTTGCATGATAATAATAATATCCTTTCAATAATAAAAAATTGCGATTAATACTAATTACTAATGTTTCTAGATCCATTTATTAATATTTTTTTTTTTGTTGCACAAATTTTGTGTCACAGGATGAAACTTTTTTTAAAAAAGTTTGGTATAAAATTTTCAAATAAAGAATTGATGCATCAAGTTTGCACTCATAAATCTTTTAATTCGGCTGATTCACCTACAAATGAACGATTATGTTTTCTTGGTGAGTTGTATGAAAAAAATTTTATATCATATTATATATATCATCATATTCATATATATTAAATTTTATTTGTATAGGTAAAAAAGTGATTGAATTGTATTCAACTGATTATTTTATAAAAGAGTATGAGGATTTGTCAGCAGATAAATTGAACGATATAGTCGACGGATATGTAGATGTAAACAAAGATAATAACAAAATTGGAATAATTGGAATGAAAATGGGATTAAACAAGTTGATGTATTGGACACCAGTGAGCATCTATGTCACTTTCCGAATCATATTAAATCTTTGATAATGGAATTGTATTAAATATTTTTTTTCTCGATATTTTTTTAAAGATAAATTATAAAGCATTAGAAGAATCAAAATTACAGGAAACTTATTTAGCACCCTCAGGAGAATTAAAGGTCGTTGGCAAAACTCTTTTAGCACTTGTAGGTGCTATATATCATGACAAGGTAAGGCATGAAATGAAAATTCATTGTTTGTTATTATTTGGAAAAGTTTTAATAAATAACTTCAAACGTTTCACGTATTTAAAAAGGGAGCATTAGCAGCAAAAAATTTTATTTATAAAAACATATTATCAGTAAACGAAGAAGAATAGAAATATGATTGTACATTTTGCGTATCCTCTTTTTAAAAAAGTCTGATCCTTTTTTATGTTCTCTTAATTCATTTTTTTTTTTTTTTTTTGACAATTTTTATTCTGCCTGATTTTTTGATGTGTTTTAACATTAGTAAAGTCTACATTTAATTCCTGAATATTTATTTGTGTTCCATGGTCACGCGGTTTTGGTGAATGTGCGACACAAACGGTTTATTTTATAAATTATTATTATTATTGTGTTTTTTTGTTTACACTAAAATTAACTTTGGTTGATCAAATATACATTCATGCAAGTTTAATTAATACTAATAATATCCGTGAACAAATCAAAAGAAATCAAAATGATAATTGATTCCTTGAAAACTCCACATGAGTGTGTTGAAAATAAATACATACTTATTTTATTAATATAACTTGTTTCGTAACCTACGATTTATCGTAATCAAAATATTAATTCGGAATGTTATATAATGTTTATTAATAATAAATTTTCAAAAATAAATAAATTTAGCAACGATGAAATAAATAATAATAATAATGGTGCATGTAATGAATAAAGTACCTCCGTGCACAACATCGACGAAATATAATATAATAATCAATATTCAATTTAGAATTATTATAATGATATGTACAAAAAAAATAATAAAAACTGTAAATAAATAAATTGATTTTCACCAAAAAAAATTCATTTATTTATTTATTTATTTATTATTTCTGAATAAAATTAATACTTTATTCATGATAGTAGAATGAAATCACTGAAGTTCTTACAACTTAAAAATCGAAACCCTGGAGGTCGACAGAGTATTAGACATAGTTTTGCTTTTTTTCGTTCACATGATGAAGAAAACTTATCGAACATCCCACAACCATCATCACATTCATCACCGTTAACATCAACAAACAACAACACCGCCACCACCAACCCTAAACAAGATAATCATAATCGCCAGAGTAGGGATATAACCTCAACGTTAAAAACCTACCTAACAAAAAAAAAGCAAAGGGCTAGTCATTACCGAAACACGCATACCAGTGAGATACGAGCCTCTGTTGTTGAACCTTCATCTATTCATGATTTAAAAGAGGAGATACAACAACGGGAAGCTACACTGGAAACCTTGGAAAAAAAAATAAAAGGCCTGGAGTCTCAAAAAGATAAAGCTCTCACAGAATTAGAAGAAGCACAAAAAAATTTACAAGATAACGGTCAAGAAATCACCAATCTCGAAAATTTGCTCATTGAACGAGATCAGAAAACAATAAAGTTGACAGAGACGCTGGAAAAAGCCAAAAAAGAAAAGAATAATTTAATAAATGAATTGGATAAAATAAAATCAGAGTTAAGAGTGCGCGAGAAAGAAATTAGCGAGTTAAACTTTTCATTGTTGGAGTGTGCACATGAATTACAAACAGTCAAATCAGATCTAACTGCGACAACAGAAGAAAGAGACTTGGCGTTATTGGAATTAGAAGAGCAATCGGCAGATCGAGAAAAACTAATAGCATCACATACAAATCAATTACAACAAATGAAAAAAGAGCTAGCGACAATTCAACATGATCTACAGAATAAACAGACCGAACTTGAAAATGTACAATCGAAATTTAATGAAGAAATAGAAGCAGCGCAAGAAATGTGCACGGCAGAAATAGAAGCAACCAAAGCGAAAAGTATGGCAGAATTAGGTGTTATAAAGGCAAAATATTCTGCAGAGCTCCACGCCGCCAAGGAAGAACATGCAGACGAACTGGAGTCCTCCATGGCTCAACTTTCCTTTTTCAAATCACAGCTTGATTCAACAAAAGCACAACTTTCCTTTACAAAATCAAAACTTGAATGGGCAAAAGCCGATTTATCATCAATAAAATCTCTATTAAACACAGCAAAAGCAGATCTTATTGTATCAAATAACAAGTTAAAGATAACGACAGCAGAGTTGGAAGCAGCCAAATCAGAAATTGAAGCGTATGTTGAAATGATGGGGTATAGAGATGGATTGACATCTTTTATAATACAGATTTATCAAGAAGATATAAAATCAGAAAAGGATAGAATTGGTTCGGAAATTGAAGAAAAACAAGAGCAATTAAGCAAGATTAAATCAGCACATGAAAAAGAAAAAAAATCAAACAGCAAAACAATCAAACAATTGAATAATCAAGTTCAAAACTTAACAAGCTCACAAGGTAATAAATATATTTATCTTCTGCATATGTTAGTCAGATGTATTTATTAATGATTGTTTTTAATTTTTAGTTCAAGAAAAAGCAAGAATAGATCAACTTGAGAATGAAAATTCAAAATTAAAGAAACAAATTGAACGATCAAAAGTTCAAGGTAATTAAAAGTATATGCAAATTTGTGCACACGCATATATACATATTTACATGCTAATATGTTATTATAATAAATAATAATAATGATAATAATAGAAAATGAGTATGAATTAATGAAAGAAGAAATGTCGCGTTTACGATCAGAGGTGATAGCATTAAAATTAGGAGAAGGACAAAAGGAACAAGACAACTTCACACCAATGTTGAATGAGATGGCTAATATAAAACATATAATTGCGCCATTTTCACCACCTGAATCACCATGTGAATCCAATGATTTTTTCCCAGATCTCGATATTCCTACCGCACATGATGCCATTAATGGAAATGCTGTTAATGGTAGTGATGAGTGGGTCACGGTGAAAAAACGTGGCAGTAAACGACAAAGAGGATACAGAATAAATAGCCGCAGTAGTAGTGGAAGAAGAGTAAGTATTGGTAGCAGTAATAATGGCAGTGGTTACATGTACTAATATATATAGTATTTTTGGTTAGTAATTTTTATATTGATTTTACAAATAAAAACTGTAATATTGTAATAATATTATCTAATCAGTCGGTTATGTACATTTATTTATAGGATTAATCACGATAATTGTAAAATGTATCAATCATTAATTGCTTTATTTACAAACACACTCTTTTATTATCAACATTATTGACATCACTCACTCACTCACTCACTCATTCACTGATAAATTTAATTTTCAATGTATTTAATTTTTGCAAATACGTAATAATAACGATAATTTATTTTTATTTTTATTATCATCATCATCATTCATTCATTTATTCATTCATTATATTCTTATTAATGCACAGTACATATCTTTTTAATTTTACTATATATTTTAATTTAATTTTAATTTTAATTAAAAAAAACACAGCCAACAGTCTCTACAAATAAAAATATTATTCGGAAAAAAATCTTTAATAATAAAATAACTAAAGAAAATTATTATAATACATCGTTGATTGAATAGATCAACAATTCATTAATATATTTAATAATTATTAACAAATCATTTCTTGATATTTCTGAATTTCCTGCTTCCAGCATATACTGTTGAACATTTGGGACCAGTAAGCCCGTGCATTACATCCAAAAATCCCCTTTTGACACTCAATTAACTATTTAGAAGTTAGCAAGTAACTGTCCCGAACTCTGTTGACTTCAGATTTGCTTGAAGAGATAGATATTGTGTAATGATGATTAAGAATGGTAATCGCACGGAAGACTTGCTGTACGTAACCTTCATCAGTAATAAATAACCTTTCAAATGAAATAGAGATTGTTTAGCGACACCCACTTCCAAAGTTTCAAGATTCGATAGTGATGTGTATTACTAGCAATTGGAGAGGTTTTGATGCTTCGAATGTAATTTGGCTGTGGCGTCCAATAGCATCATCATCAAGCCCATTCCTAAAAACACCATCAAGGACCAAAATTTTAGACGAGATACATTTGATGGTGGCCCTTCTTAATTCTTGATGATTTTGTTTGCACATAAGTTCGTTTTTCCTTTTTAAGAAGCCTGCCAGTAGCTCCCGCAGTGGAATATTCATATAGTTATAATTGTAAAACTTATTTTTATTATACTGAGGTACTTTAAAATTATAGTCACACAACATAAATTTGAGATCGTCACAAAGTGATAAACGTGACAAATAGAACTTCCATCATGCTAATACAACTGGCATTAAGATTATGCAAGACAAGTATTATCCTATTTATTATATTAAAAATACATTTTTTAAATAATTAAAGTTTAGGTGATGGAATTTTTCATTGCTTCCTTTGATCATGTTGTCAAAACATTGGATAACAATAAGGAGAAGGAACTCAACTATCATCAAGACAAGTCAAGACAAAATGTTAATTATACATTTGTTGTACACATGTTACAATAATGAGTGGTGAAAATACTTTCTTAGTTAATTAATAAAGTTTATACAATTCCTGCTCCAAAATGCCTTCTCATTGGCTGTTCATAAAACAAAGGGTTTGACCTTACCTATATAATCATCTCTATTGATGAGAACATATTTGCTGAGGCTAAGCTTGAGTAGTGCAAGCTCCTTGGAAAACTTGAACATCCTGAGATTTGGTTTTTCTCAAAAAAAAAGTGCTTTGATTGAATACAGAGATTGGAAAAAATTAATCATGATGGATTGAAAACTTTAATGTAAAATGTTTATTAATATAATTTTTTAACAAAATAGGCTTGGTGATACCAGTGACCTTTTCTGGTGGATGCCTGATTACTGCAATATCTTGCTATTTAATCACTAATAAAATAATTAGCTCATGGGAAAATATCTCAAATAACAGAGAAGTAAATATTCTAGCATTCTAAACTTTAATTCTCAATTAAATTTAAATGAAGGAATTTAAATTAAGATTTCCAGCTGAAACTCTCTTTATTAGCAGCTGAAATTGCTGAAACACTTTGGGCAAAAATTACTTTTTTATAAGCCCAAACTATTTTTTGTTATTAACCAAAATTAGGCAAAATTACTTTAAGGTTGTTTAAGTTAAAATAAGTTGATTGGTATAGTTTTTTAATGTTCATGTTTATAAAAAATGCTGAGAAGCCCAAATTGCCCAAACTAGTTTGGGCTTTGAGAAAACAGCCTGGACCAGAAACCTTAATTTAAATGATTGATCACTTTAAAAATAACTTGAAAATAATTCTACAAAGTAATACATTTAATTAAGATAAATTAGGATTCAAAAAAATCAGAGAATTGGATGATAGAACCTTTAACATGTATAAATAATGTTGTAATTTTCTCAACTTCATGTGTCATCTTTATCATCATAATAATAATAATTTAATAAATAACACTGTCCTTAACCTTGTCCTTGTCCTTGTCATAGTCTTCAAATTATATTTTTGTAATGATAATAAATCTATATCTCTAACAATGAATTCATACAAATTCCAAGCATAATAAATTTTCTCTTATTTTGTATTTGTTTATTTTTATTATTATTTTTTATTTCTTTTCTTTCCTTTTAGTGAAGTAATATTTAATGAATTTTATTTAGTAGTTTTTAGATATGTGCCTGACTTGATAGTAAAGAGGAAAACAGCTAGAAAGACACCCACCAAGAAACATTATCAGGATATCTAAAGATATTATTTAGTATTTCTTATTATAAGGAATTGTTTGATGATAGTGAAAGATAGTTTTGAGAGTAAAGCATAAATATGCATTCATGGAAATTGTTGTTATGATTTAGTATAAATAAATTGTATTAACATTGTTGGCGTATTATTATAAATAAAATATTGAGATTTACTGTGAGGCATGGATTTTTATCTCAATGATCATTTTTATTATTATTATTTATAGTGTTTATAGATGATAAAGATGTTAAAACAGTATATATAAATGTTGAACATAAAAATACTAATAAAATAATAAATAAATAATACTAAATGATGATAAGAGACATGGTGATGGGTTAGTGGTTGTATCCACCAAATGATCACCAATTATCCAGTTAATTATGTGTTGAAAATTTTCACTGGATTTTGATGAAGATGCAACAGAATTAGAAGATGTACTAGGATTGAGGTATGAAATATGTAAATCATAATTTTTTATATTTTTTTCAAGCATTAATTTTCTGTAATGTGACTGTAATATAATACAAGCATTAGTATTTGTATAGGATAAATAATTTAGATTAAATTTAAATTAGATAATTGAATTAACTAACCTTGAAGCTGTGGATTATTCCTGCATCACATGGCTGCAGGTGTGCAGTTACATTTGGTGGAAAATGATGAACCTTTATGTTTGTTAATTGTAAATCTTCGGTCAAACTATGTGTTGGTGCATTGTCAACAAGCAATATTATATTTCTTTTTTCAGCTTTCATTCCAGATTGATACTTGCATCCAAGCTTTACTATTCCAATAATAATCTATTGGTAATGTTTTTTTATCAATTCCTCTTAAAGGCTGTGGAGTTGATATTTATGTATGAACAAAGGCACCAATTTCTCTGTCCCAGATGCATTTCATGTAAGCAAGACTGTTACTCTATTTTTGTCTTGTTTGGCCCCCAACAGTGGTACAGTTGATAATCCACGTGATGGCTCCATTTTTCAAAAAAGGCCAGTTTCGTCACAATTGAAAATATTATCTAATTGGTATTCTCTAAGGATATTCTGCAAATCTCTTCTCATTTCAGGAAGTTGTTCAATTGGTGCACTTTGTGCTTCACCATGTTTAGAATATTCACAGATTGAATATCTTTGTTTGAAATTACTTAACCAACCAGAGGAACCATTAAAATCTTGAATATTTAATAATTCTGCAAATCTTATACTCTTCTGTTTAATAATAAGATCTGTAATTGTCAAATTACATTCAAGGGCCTTTTCAATCCACAAAATTAGAGCTTCTTCAATGTTAGCAAATTGGACAATAGATGGTCTTTTTAATTTTGCTTGATAGGAGTCTGGATCAATTTTAAGCCATTTTTCAGAATCTCAATATATCACTAACTTGACTTGTACTGATTCCAAATGGCTTGCTAGTTCGATATTTTTTGGTTCGGGTTTATTTTTTTTTAATTTACATAAATCGCGTTTTTGCTCTGCAGTAATGTATACACGTTTTTTAGAGGAGGATGATTGTTGGGACATTTTTTAACTGTATATTTATTTTTTATTTTTTAATTATAGTTTTGATAATACAATTTCATCTTAATTTATACATTTTGAAAATTATGAATCTTTGATAAAGGATAATAATCCTATTTATTTTATTATCTACAACAAATAATCTATTTAATTGTTTATTTGTTATTTTATTTTAGGATTTAAAAAATTTGTTACTTGAACAAATAATCTATTTAATTGTTTTATTATTTTATTTTAAAATTTTTAGAAACAAAAAATTTTGTTACTTGATCTATTGTTATTAAAAATCCGTGAATAATTTTATTAATTTTATTAATTGTGGAAAAAAAAATTTTTTGTTTATCAATTTTAGTAATTTGGATAATTTTATAACTTGAATGTCACGTGAATCCGCTGTGGTGAGATTAGTAGACATATAGAGAGATCACCATCAAAAATCCGTTAACACTGTGACCAGGGCTGGAAATAGGGTCTGAAAAAAAAAACGGAAATTCCTCCTGAATGCTAAGAATTTTCTGAAAGAAAAATTTAAAAAAAGGAAAAATTTTTGGTGCTAAAATTTTTTTCAAATTTAAGAATTTTCTTTATTTTATACTTCTGCTTTTACTTTGAAGAAGATTACTAAGAGCTTCACTAAAATCATAACATAATAAATTAGTACCTTCTAAACCAACCATCATTAATAAGTGCAATATGTCATTTTACATTGCATTACATAAATCTGTTTTGTTTGCTAAAACTCTTTCACAATCTACACTAGAAAATGGAATTGAGTGCACTATTTCTATAAGTTTTAAAATATAAATAAGACTTGGAGGTTTGGAAATTGGAATATTTCCTTTTGCAATCCAGTAAATCATTTTCATTATATTAATTATATGTTTGTTACTGTTGTACGTGAAAATGAATTTATGTGAATTCGCAATTCACATATGTGAAATTCAAATTAGCCAATCAGAATTTCACCCCACTCCATAATATTTCAATTTCACATAATTTCAATTTCACATACAACATTATCAAATAGAGTTTATGTTTGCTACTAAAAAACTATTGATTCTATAAAATTCTCTTTATTAACAATCGGTTACTTCGAATGCTGTAATAGCATTATCGCGAATTAAGGACGGCTTATGCCAACTAGGACATGAAAACCCGACTTGTGTGGTTCCCTCATAAAACCTAATACAACAGCTTTCGAGCCATCCTCTCGACCAATCGAATGAAGATACGGTTTTATCAAAGTTTGGATATGAGGTTTTTAGCGTAACGGATTGATCAGCCTCGCCGTCAATCACCACAACTTGCCCTCCATAGTTCTTCTCTGTGTACAATGTCAAAGTCCATGCGTGGGTTTGCATAACATTTAAAAGTAGTAAAATCAAGATACCGATATACCCTATATTTCCGAAAATTTATAAAAATGGGTTTCAATTCAAGTCGTTTTTATATAAAAATAATTAGCATGCTTGCCTTTAAGAAAGTTCATTTTACCAATTGTTATATTATTGCTCTTGAGGGATAGTTATTTAAATAGTTTTTTTCTAATATTATCTTTAATTCATTTAACATCGCCTGATTAAAGTCATCCGATTTTTTGAAATCATGTTACCGTGTTGCACAGGTAACATCGCCTGATTAAATTCATTCGATTTTTTTGAAATCATGTTACCGTGTTGCACAGGTAACATCGCTTGATTATAGTCATTCGATTTTTGCAATCATGTTACAAGGGCAACCCGATAAACCGAAGATAGCAGTGCAGAAAATCTTCGGTTTACGGTTTATGGAGGTTTAATAGTAATTTCGGTTTATCGGAGTAATTTTAATATTAATATGCTAAAATGCGGATTTCAAAAAAGGTTCGATCTGGCGGGGTTTTCGGTTTATCGGGGTTGACCTTGTACCGTGTTGCACAGTTAACATCACCTGATTAAAGTCATTCGATTTTGTAATCATGTTACCGTGTTGCATAGCTAACATCGCCTGATTAAAGTAGAGGTTGGAATCGTCCAAAAAATCCTTAGTCGACTACTAGTTGGTCAAAATTCTTTTAGTCGACTATTTAGTCGACTAAATTTTTTTAATACTAGCGTGTAACCATTTGCTTCGCAAAATGGTCACGGGAATAACATCCTATTTAATTAGAATATTCATTCTGTTTCATTATTATTAACGGTTTTTTTTAATTTGCAGATTACAAATTCATCTCCATTTGAATCTTTAATTTTCTCGAAATACTTCCATACGAAGCTATATGTTATAATTCGTTTTTTTAAAGGTCTGGAACCACTGCTTGAGCTCGAAGCCAACGAATTGTTGGAATGATTTGACCTTGTATCAATGTTTATTATTTCGCATGGATAATTATCGCCAACACCAGCACCAACACCACCATTATCATCTTCTTCATAATATTGATACTCTGCATATTTATTTTTATTATTTTCCATTATTTTATTTTTAAATTTTTTTGTACCACAAAAAACGTTTTCATTTATAATTGGCCAGACAATGATAATAATTAGTATTAGTCGACTATTAGTTGTTTAAAAAAAAAGTTATTTGACTAAATTAGTCGACTATTTTAGTCGATTCCAACCTCTAGATTAAAGTCATTCGATTTTGCAATCATGTTATCGTGTTACAAGTTTTCGATTTTATGACCCAATCAAATTATTTGTCACGAGTTGTCACAAGTTGTTTGCAGGTACTTGTGACAGAACTTGTGACGCCTGTTTGAGAGTTTTGAGCTTCTTTATTTCTTTCTTGATTACTTCTTTATATCTGTCACAAGTTACTTAAGTAAAATAGTAGAATTTAAGAGAAAAAATAAAACTCTTTCCTATGGTATACCTTTGATATACACCCGATATATAACCGATACCAACCTATGTTATATGCACTATATCTGTACCCGATACCTATCTATGTTATATGCGCATATACCTACCTCAATATATACTATGCTATGTGTGCTATATCTATTGCAAAGCAGGCCATTAGGCGATGAATCAGAGATTCGAGACTCTGTCTCTTCTTTGAATCATGGCTCTTCGAGCCTACTATGATATATACCTGATACTTACCTTCGATATATCATATACCCATAGAAAAAAAAATAAAAAAAAGACGGGACTCAACAAATTAACCTAAGAAACTTGTGACAGCTGTGACAGTTATCGAGAACGATTTTTTTTTGAACTCAGATTTCCAAGAACCCACCTTTCTACCGATTTTTTTACTTGAGACGAACTCGTGACAACTTGTGACACTTGATTGGACTATGTCTGTATACTCTCTCACTATCTATTTTCTCCAAGAATCTCTAATTTTTGCGCAATCTTCTCCAGCTTTTTCCGCTGATAATGATCTTGAAATCTATACTTACCAGCATGAGTTCTGCACACGCCAAATATAGATGGCGTTAATTTACCACACTCTTTACATGGTACACGGGTGGGAGAATTCCAGTGAACTCTACATCCCTCTGGTCGATAACAACCCTCGTTACAGACCTTACCAGTTCGGAGGATATAAGGGCAACGATAAAATCCCATATCTATGTGAAATTCTTTGATAATGTATGTATTATATCTCTAACACTAATTACCTGAAATAATTAATTTTCATTTTGAACTTTTCTCTAACCAATAATATATCATTCGAGAAACATGAGTGAACCTACCAAGAGCTAGGATTTTCAAGAAAATATCGATCACGCGCCACCTTCTCGACCAGAGAGCCCGAAAAACTTGGAAAATTTCGAGCCGGGGATAGAGGAGAAAATAGTGGGGCATTCTACCACCGAGGGCCAAAGCTTTTCCTCAATCAAAGATTTCAGAAAATGAAAAGGCAGAACAATTACTTCAAAACTTATTCCACTATTTTGGCAGTGATTATTTGAAAGGTATTCTCTATCGTGATGAACTTGTTGCTAAGTAGGATAATGGGTTAACAACAATTCTTGAACAGGCGTTATCTAAAGGAGAAGATATTCCATTTATGGCCGTTGATGTGAAAGAATCCACAGAAAAGATTAAAGGAATACCTTTTTATGTATTACGTTTATATGGTCCTTAATTAATGGCAAAAAGCTGTCGTAACAGTCAAAGGTATTCGGGTATTCTTTGATATTCTTGTACCAGATGGTGAATGTCCAATTGTATTCGAAACAAAAATAAAGGATATACTTTCTAGCGTTGTAGAAACATTCAAAATCGAACATATTAAAGCTTTTCCATTTATTGGATATAATATAGATAAAAATCATATTTGCGAATTTGTACAACCACTACTGAGGAAAGAAAGGTTGCTATAAACTTATACGTAAAAATAAATATAGTACCGCTTCAGATGACACAAGTGCATACTATCGCAAAGTAGCTCGTGAATATGGTTTCTCATTATCGGGATGGTCGATGATAAGTAATTATACTTATAGCAAAAATTCTAGACTTTGTTCATATGAATTCCATGTATCTGCGAAAAATTTCCATTCTATAGAAGAGCTTACATCATTAAATACCCGCTTCCCTATTTCTACCTTTATGCGAGATCGCACACTTGTGCTTACTTGGGATATTGAGACGTATAGTTCACGCATATTAGCTGGCCCTCCTAGAGCAAATTATAAAGAGGATAATGTTTTTATGATTTGTATAACTGTGCATTGGAAAGACGATCCTAAACCATTACAGCAAATTTGTCTCGTTGATGTCGAGACTGCTCCAGACCCCAGTTGGATTACAATAATTTGTGGCAATCAAACTAATTTATTAAAGCTTTTGCTCTCTGTTTATAAGCTTTCACCCCGATATCCAATTTGGTTTTAATGATTATGACTGGCCTTTTATTATCGAAAAAGCTAAAAATTTAAATATCCTTGAATGGATGTGGAAACAAATATCAGGAGGTTTATATCGAAAAAATGCTGAAGAAATTTACGCTATGATTACTATGGAGAGATAGGCAAAACTTCTAATAATGCTTTTTACAGCAAACCAAAAACATATATACAAAAGAGTGAGGATGAAGATTACGAAGATGAAGAATTTAAAAGAAAGGCAATTGAGATCAAAATTGGTCCGAACCAGGATTTCGAATCTACTTTTCTAAAAATACCAGGATGTATTCCAATTGATGTTCGTGTATCATTCATGAAACTTAATCCTCGTTCAGAAGTAGGGAAACGTAGCTCACTGAATTTTTATTTAAAAGAATGTGGTCTTGTGGGTAAAGTTGATATGCCGATACCCGCCATGAATAAAATTTATGAAAGTGGGAATGTGGCGGGGATGCGTAAAATAGCTGAGTATTGCTTTAAAGATGCTTTAAGTTGTCAAGAACTTATGGTTGTACACAATGCGATAAATGTTTATAGAGAGGTTGCTTCTATTGCTTATGTATCTTTATTTGACACCCACTATCGCGCAAATGGAATGAAAGTAAGAAATCTTCTGGGTGCTTATGCATTCAAGCGTAATATATTGTTTACCACAAATCGGGTTAAAAATAGAAAAAGAAAACTATCCTAGTGCATACGTTTTCCCACCTAAAAAAGGTATTGAAACTAAAAGGCCAGTAACAGGTTTGGATTTTGCATCACTATATTCTAGCCTTATGATGACCTATAATCTCTCTCCGAAAAAATAATATTAAATCGTGAAGAGGCTGATCTAGTACGTGCTAAGGGATGTGACCTATATAATATTGATTTCCCATTCAATAATCGTATACTCAATGCTTGGTGTGTCCGTCATAATAATCAATCTGAAAAAAAAGGGTTATATCCCGATGTGTTACTGGATCTTCTAAATAAACGAGTAGAGCTTAAATCAAAACTTCCTATATTGGGCGAGAAAAAGAAACGACTCAGTAAATTAATAAGTTCAATAGAGTAAAAGATAAAAATATTCCAGATAGTTTAAACTCGGAGTATATTTCTATATGTTTTGATTATAATTGTTTGGACTCAAAATAGAAAGCTATTAGGGTTTTTATGAATACCTTTTATGGTGAAACTGGAAATAGCAAATCTCCTTTCTTTCTTCGAGTATTGGCTGGAGGCATTACAACAGCGGGACAGCATATCATCAAACTCGTTGCAGATTATGTAACTAAGAAGGGTTTTGAAATTATGTATGGTGATACTGATTCATTATATCTTAAATCCCCTAATAATTATTATAAAGAATGTGATCTTGCTTATGATAATGGTAAAGGCGTGATTTAAAGCTAGAGTATTGGAGCAAAATGGTTGAAATTACTATGTATGTAATGAAAAAATTATGTGATGAAGTAAATACTTTTTCAAATTGAGAACTGGTTCAAATCATCTTAAAATGGCCTATGAGGAAGT